TACCCTCCTTGGGTTCAATTACTTTGCGAGAACAGCTCACAGAACTCAGAGAAACGTGTATTACCAAGCAGATGTGTATCAGTTTGCCAAAGGGTATGATTCAGGATACAGATGAACGGTCAGATGGAAGGGAGGTCTAGGAGGATCCCAAGCACAGGAGCTTCTCTGTCCCCGTGGCACTGGGGTGCGTCACCCTCCTGGCACATTAATGTGTTCACCAACCAAACAGCTCTCCTGACCCCCTACCACTGGGATTTCATGGAGGCTTCATCACGTAGGCATGATCAATTATTAAGTCTGTTTCCAGCCCTTCTCCCTTCTCTGAAGGATGGGGTAGGGGGCAGGGCTGAAACCAAGCTTCTAATCATGGCTTGGCCTTTGATACCAGCCCCCACCCAGGAGCCACCCAGGAACCCACTCAGAGTCGCCTCATTAGAACAAAAGATGCTCCCGATGCTCTCATGACTTAGGAAATTACAAAGGCTTTAGGGGCCTGGTACAAGGGACAGGGCCAGATCAGAGACAAGTATCAGAACAAGAGATGCTCCTAGTGTTCTTATCACTTAAGTATTCACAGGGATTTCAGGGACTTTGTGCATATATTTCTTATTGTTTCACAGGGCTAATTACACCACTCATTTCTTTTCCTCTTTTTGGCTTTTCATTCCTAGCAGCTGTTAACTATGAAAACATAAATATGCTCCATATTCCCAGTGAGCTTTCATCTGTTTCTCAAAGGCCAGACTGAGAACCAGCTACACTCTAAATTTTAATCTGGCAGACTTTTGAACTGCAGTTTCCTGGGCTCCACCTCAAACCTAATGGGCAAGTGGTCAGGGCATCTGCTTTTCTAACAAGCTATCCAGGTGAGTCATTAGACAGAGAAAAGTCTAAGAACCAGAGATTCTCAAGTCACTTGTCACTCAATCTCAAGTCACTGCTCCGTGCGTCTGCATCCTGGCTTCAGCACAACAGGGTTAGACGATGCCTCCTTCAGTCTAGTAGAAGCCCCTGACTGACAGAGCAAAGTGAGGCTCCAAGTGCCAAGGAAGACGACACGGGACTTGCAGGCACACTGGTTTGGGGGAGCTCTGGAACTGGGACTTGCACTGAGAGCTGAAGAATGGAGAGGACTTGGGGTGCTGGGAGAAGGACAAAGGCCCCAAGGTTGGGACAAGGACCAAGAGCAATTTAAAGGAGGAGTGGCTCAAGTACCTAGCTGGCAAGGTCTGCGGTCAGAGGCAGGAAGGCAGAGAGAGGTCAGACCCCAAAGGGTTTAAACAGCAAAGAGAGGGGTCCAGATTTTGTCCTGGAGGTAGCAGACACAATCAGAAGTTTCCAGGCAGGTGTAAATGGTTAGAGGGAATCCCCATCTTCCTGTTCCCATGTTTCCATGAGAAAAGTCATGTTCAATTCCCAAGGAGGAAACAATATTGGAAACACATGTCCTGCCCTTCTTCAAACTCCTCGCACTTCTCTGACTGGGGACCTACCAGACCAGTGAGACCGGAAACAGGGACGGAGCACATGCAAACCGGCCCGCGCCCTCTCCGCCCTGGTGGGTAAACTCAGCTGAGGGAGCAACCTGCAAGAAGCCTGATTCTGGCCACAAGCCAATGGAAGTTCTTCGACCCAATGTACCAATAATAAAGCTGACAATTCCACCTCTGTCTTTACAATTTCCTAACTGGTGTGAATGAAGAGCGGGAAAGCAGGGGGTTGATTTCTACCACCAACTACTAATGTAAATAAGAAAACAGCAGTGCTTCAGAAAGATTAGCCAGGTGGCAGCTGCCAGGATGGACCGAAAAAGGAAAAGACTGGAAGCCCTCGAATCATCTGTGGAGTAACTACAACAGCCCAAGTACTCGATGAGCCATTGGTAACAACCACCGAGCACCATCCGGGGGCTAATCAAGTACATGCTCACGTCAAAACATCTACTTGAGCCAATCTGCGAGAGAATAAATCAAAAAGCTAAAAAAACTGAGACTTAATTACCAACATATATTTTTGTATCCATTAATGTCACCCTGTCATAATTAAAATTGCTTCCACTGATCAGTAGGGTCATTAATTAAAGAAACCATAGCAATTTTATAACTATATAAAGGACAGGAAATAAAAGGCTTGCCAGTCCAGAACCCTATTTGGGCTACACAGGAGAATTCTACTATGTTACAAGTCACTCTTACATAGTCCAAAAATCAGACCATGTCACTCGCCCACATTTCTAAAGGAATAACTAGCCCTATCCATCCGTCAGCACCCTCTCAAAGGAGGTCTTTTGAATTTCTAAACCTCAAAAGATTCTGTTTCCTTTCTTTTATTATTTATGTATTTTACAGAGAGGAGAAAAGAAGGAGAAAGAGAGGAAGCAAAACATCCATGTGTGAGAGAAACATCGAGTGGTTGCCTCTTGTACACCCCCAACTGGGGACCGAACCACAACCCAGGTGTGTGCCCTGACCAGGAATCGAACCAGCAACCTTTCACGTTGTGAGACAATGCCCAACCAACTGAGCCACACCAGTCAGGCCAAAAAGTTATGTTTTCTAAGTGAGTAGGCCTTGAAAACACTACCAAGCACTATCAACTCACTTACATTTTGTTGAGACTAATCAGATCAAAATCAGGTTCCTCCAATATCGCTAAACATGCATTTAACCCCCAACTTTGTTCAGGGAAATGCCTCCTCTTGCCCCAAAGTAGACTTTCTGGCAATGTCTGTATACTCATCACCTTGTTTCACATCACACACAAAGTAAATGTGAATTCCTTTCAGAAAGAGAAGGAAATTGCAAGTACCAGTGACCAGTGGCTAAAATGAGCTGAACTGTCTATCTATGGCTTTCTACTGCCTTCTCGCACACAGACCAAACACCTTCCAAGAGCTGTGAAACTCTCCTCCAATTACCCTAACTCTAAAGCATTATCCTCAAGGATTCCTCTTTGTTTTCTGTAATAAAAATAAGTCACTTCAGCCTGGCTGGTATGGCTCAGTTGGCTGGAGCACTGTCCCATAAATCAAAAGGTCACAGGTTTGATTCCAGGTCACGGCATATGCCTAGGTTGCAGGTTTGGTCCCGTGGTCAGAGAGCATATTAAGAGGCAACTGACAGATGTCTGTCTCCCTCTGTCTTCCCCTCTATTCCCCACTCTCTAAAATCAATTAACACGTCTTTGGGTGAGGATAAAAAGAGTAAGTCGTGCCCTGGCTGGGGTGGCTCAGCAGATTGAGTGTCAGACTGAGAACCAAAAGGTCACCGGTTTGATTCCCAGTCAGGGCACATGCCGGGGTTGCAGGTCGGGTCCCCGGTTGGCAGCATGAAAGAGGCAATTAATCGATGCATCTCTTACACACCAATGCTTCTCTCCCCTCTTTTTCACTCCCTTCCTTCTCGACAAATAAATAAATAAAATCTTTAAAAAAATAATAAATCACTCCACTAGCCCACATCTGATTCTCCTTCTTCACATACGACATTACCCTCCGAACCACTGCAGCTTCTCTGAAGTAATTTCAAGAGGGAAGCTACTGGCGGAGACAGAAACTCGCTCTGCCACCCTCTGCGCACACCAGAGGCCAGAGTGCACTCACTGGGTTTACTGGGAAGCAGAGCCCACACATTTCTCACTAGTCGGAATCCTGGTTTTACTTCTTTCTCTTGATCTTCTGCAAGGTAATTTAGGCCCTACATTCCTAGGATCCCACCCAAGCCTCTGTGATAGACAAAAGATGAAATCTCCCACCAGGCAGAAGGGAGTGAACATGATAAGACAGTTTTAACTTGGATTAGGGCATTATCCATCTGGTCTCAACCAACTATCCCTCTGAGAATGAACTGAACCACAGAGTAAATTCTGAGTCGCAGCAGACAACGCCTACAATGCTGTCTCTGCCTACAATGCTGTCTCTACGTAAAGCTTACGTCTTCCACCCTGGCTGGTGTAGCTCAGTGGATTGAGAGAAGGCTGTGAACCAAAGGGTTGCTGGTTCGATTCCCAGTCAGGGCACATGCCTGGGTTGCAGGCCAGTTCCCAGTGGGGGCCACATGAGAGGCAACCACACATTGATGTTTAACTCTTTCTCCTTCCCTTCCCCTCTTTCTAAAAATAAATAAAATATTAAAAAAACAAAAACAAAAAACTTACCTCTTCCATGCCTCACCCCACTGATGGCCTCATTACTATATGTTCTGTTAGTGTTCACATCTCTGTACTTCGTAGGGGTGCCCCTGGTCTATATTCTGCCTCTGCACTTAGATTTTAGAAACTTAAACTCCTCTTAAATATACATAAGAAGATATATATTTTTTGTTTTGTATGTCTTCAAAATGTTCTGCACAAAAAATTGAGAAAGACACAAATTGTAAAACACTGCACGTACACACAGCTCACAGATGAACTCCCTGAGCAGAGCGCCTCTGGATGCTGATAGGATCTACGGCCAGGGCCCTCGGTTGTCACTCCCTCTGCAACCACTGTGGTCCTCTGGTCTCATTTACTCACCGTGTCCTGAGCACCTACAGACATGTCAGGCACTGTGTCAATCACTGAACAAGAGAAGAGACCGGAGCGAACACTCACGTACTAGAGAACTCACAGCCTCGGGAAGCCCGGCAGTCCTTTCCTGTCTGCAACGTGTGCTCACCCCTGGCTCTCCCAGGCCACCTGCACCACTGAATCCAGGACTGCACACCCTCCTCTGCCACTGTCCACTGCTGCTGTTCCAAAAACCACTGCCCTCCCTGAATCACACCTACAGCGACCCTTCCCTCATACCCTGTGCATGCCAACATACTTTAATTCTTAATTCAAAAGGAATGGCAAGAAATTGCAGAGTCAGCACTAGGTTATCTTTCTCTCATCAGGAGGTGAGAAAGTGGTTCATTTCGGCTGAAAGTAGTACAGTTGTGTCCAGGGCTGGAGTAAGCCCAAAGGCAAACTGCTCAGTGGAGACAGAGCCAAGTGCTCGGAGTGGGGAGAGAGGGACGCACCTGGCCTTCTTGGACTTCGTCCTGGCTGTGGAGTCGGCACTGCTCCTCTTCTCTTTGGCCTCCTTGGTGCCCGAGGCCTCCCGGGGCTTCCGCACTTTCTTCGCTCCGTCCTTCTGCTTGGGCTCCTTGGGCTCCTTGGCCCTCCTGGGCTCCTTGGCCTTCCTGGGTTCCTTTGGCTCTCTAGGTTCTCGCTTCCTCTTTGGCTTGGGCTCCCTGTCCTTGCTTCCCTTGGCTGCCCGCCCTTGCTCTCCTGGATCCTTTTTCTTCCGTTTCTTCTTCACCCCAGTGCCTCCTCCTCCACTGTCCTCCATCCCATTATAAGATGTCATTTTCCTTGGAAAAAGGGTCTCAGCTTCCTCTTCAGCAGCGTACAGTTCCTTCTGGGGCAGACAGTGACTAGCAGCATCTTCAATTCTCTCTTCCTGATCAGTGCTGTGCTCAAATGGGGAGGGGGATTTGCAGTCACAGTTGACAGAGGCATCAGACATTGGGGAGTGATTCAGAACTTTTAAATGTGACAACTGTAAAAGAGAAACAATAGTATTACTCTTCTGCATGCTTCATGAAAAGAGCATTATTAAGTTTGAAGGTATGGATTTGTTCAACGTTTTACTGAGTTCCTACTATGTGTTAGTTCCTCTTGGGCTAGACCTTAGGGATATGGTAGGAAAAAGGACACACATCTGTGTTTCCCCTTGCCCTGCTGGAGCTATACCAAATTGTTGTTGTTACATCATGTAAGACACTCATACGTAAAAACCTCAAGGATTTCCCACATTATGTGCAGAAATCTGAAACACCTTTTAAGCTCCACGTCTAGAACAGGTAACGACAGTTTCCCACAAAATACCTTTAGATGTCACTAACAGACACAAAATCCTAGGCACACTGTTCTCACCCAGAATGCACTCATCATATTAATAATCAAAAGTTCTGTTCAAATGTCTTCACAAATAAAGATGATATCACTGGGGCGATAAGGACACAGGGTCAAACTCGGTCTGTTGCTTTATGTCCCCCAAATATTTGCTCTTACATATCATCAAGCAGCATCAAAATTCAGCTGGTTTGACTTCAACAAGAAAATCTGATTCACTCAGAACTACACCTTTTATTCTTAACTAAAAATGGTGTTCTGCTATATGACCACCTAACTTATTCACCAGACTGAGCACCAAATGGCCTTCAGTCACTTATAAAAAACCAGCTACCGGTATAAAAGGAAGCTCTATTGTGATGGATGCCATTAGAAAGAATGTGTCACAGGTGCTGAAGGCAACCCTAAAAGGGAAGCTTCTAAGCTGTTTTTTGAGCACCATCAGATAAAGGTGAAGTCTCCTAAAGTGACACTTTTAAGGAAAACATCCCCTTGGAAGTGTTAGTTACAGCTCATACTCTCAGGTCTGGCATGACAGAGTACACTTGTCATTTCATAACCAGGCTAAGGTTGGCAATGATCTCAAAATAACGGGGATGCTAGTTTCACAGAGGAGCACACTCTCCTATAATACAAAGTAAGTCACTTATTTTAGGCCAGGAACAAAGAAACTATCTAAGGAGAGTCTGGGAGGGGCAAGCCGGCTTCCCAGAGATATGGTTACAGTGATCTTTGGTGGCTCAGGAACAGCGCCCCGTGTGAGCAGCCTGCTCCCCCAACAAGAGGCCTGGCTGGTGTGAAAGGGCGCAGACACTTGCCCAGGCAGTGAGGTACGCCTGCAGTGTTCTGGTTACCCAGTCTGTGCTCAGACTTCCTGGCCTACCCCAGGAATGATGGAGAGTACAAACTTCAGCTGCATATTTCTCCCTCTGCTGTTTACAGTTCCCTCCCCTCATCTGATACTCCCAAACATAACACTGAGAATCCCAGGAGAAAAAAGATGAAAAAAAAAAAAAGAAGGATTTAGGGGGGAATCTTTAGTATAACTGAAGCCCAGCCTTATAAACAAATAAATCCAGAGGAAACTGGTCATTCTGGCAGGACCACTACTTTACAAAAAGAGAAAAACAATTCAGTTTGACTACCTTATTGCTGATTTCAGTTCTTGGAATGGCTTAGGAAAAGGAGGAGCTAAGTAAACTTAAAAGGAATTTAGACACCGAAGACAAGAAAAAGCTTAAAATGGTAAATTTTGTCGTGTCTTTTACCACATGAAGAAAATACAAGGCTACAAGAAACCCAACAGTGCAGAAACAGGTGCCCAGCTACAGCTCGCATCCTTTGAGTGTGTAACCGTCCCTGGTATATTACTAAATTCTGGGCCTGTGACACTTGGCCCTCAGGAAGGGAGTTTTTGCTTAGCATGCAAGAGATACAGATTTGTTTATTCAGGGAGCTTTCAAAAACATCGCACTCTAAACACTTAATTCCAATGAGGCAGCTCTCTGAAGGTGCAAGTGGAACCCTCTCTTCGACCCATACCTCCTGGCTAGGTCTCCTCATGAAGCACAGGGCTCTCCAGCAGAGGCAACTGGATAGTCAGTTCAAGGGAAATGGCAGTAACAGTAGCAGCGGCTAACACTTTCTGGACACATTATTATTATGGATTATAATTCAAAGCATGTTTCATGCTCTCTCTAATCTTTCAACAGTCCTATAGGGTTGGTGTAAAGATGCTATTTTGTACACAGAGAACTGGAAGATTCCTGATGTTAAGTGATGTGTCCAAGGCCATACACTATCATCAGTGAGTGAGTGAGCCTGGACCTGAATCCTCTGGCCAAAAGCTAATGTTCATTTCATTGAGCATTTTACACCATCCCAGGAATCATTAATGATGGCTGGACCACCAGACCCACATGATGAGACCTGGTTAGAAATGTTGTATGCGATGGCTTATACAGCCACTTTGGGAAAAGGTCAGAGACTTCCTTGTAAAACTAAACATATGAGGTCTGTCCAGAAAGTAACCAGCCGGGCGCTAAGAAAAAGAGACATTTATTGAAGATACAAAATACAAGAAACACTGTACACAGGACAGTGATGCCTCAGTCCCCTTCAAAGTTATGAATGTCCTGAGGAAATCTGGTTCGTTGGTAGTGGTTTCAATCAGGTCATTAGCAACTGCAGCACCATGTCCCTTCTGTTCCTGTAGGAGAAGCCGCGGAATAAATTTTGCCACAACACGTTTTGTGCCAAGATCCTACATCAAAATCTCAGACACAGTAGTTTTTGGAATCCCCAGATCAGCTGCTAGTTCTCGCACTGCCAGTCTTTAATCTTTGTGAATTGCAGCCCATACAAGTTCAACACTCTCAGGGGTTCTGCTTGTCGCAGGCTGTTCAATACGTGGATCACTTTCAACAGGTTCTTGACCACCTTTGAAGCGTTTGTGCCACACATTTAATTGTGCTGCATTCATTGCATTGCCCCGGAAAGCCTTCTGAATCATCCAAATAGTTTCCGAGGAGGAATGTTCGAGCTTAACTCAAAATTTGATGCAGATTCGTCGCTCTACTCACTCAGTCATTTTGAATGCGATGGCCACACAGTACACATGTTCACTCAATGGCATCTACCACCCCCAGTGACAAGTACAATGAAGTTATCATTGAACCATTCTCATTTTATTAACAATGGCCTGTCTTCTGAACAGACCTCATATACCTAACTGAGGTCCCAGCAATTCCGCTCCCAGGAATCAGCAATAGTGGTCTAGTTTACTCCCTCATTCCATAGATAAGACCAAGAGTTCAGAGAGATAAAGTGGTTGTCAAGGTGACATTCCTAAGGAATGCAGAACTGGCGCATCCCATAAAGAGAAGGAAAACTCAAGAAGCGAAGCACAATTTCAGCACAGTCAGTGATGAAAAGAGAATTTTCCTCAAAAGGATATTAGTAGTAAAAAATATAAAATTATAATCTGTCAATAACCAACAAGAAATTTTTATTATTTATTTGTTTGTCTGTTTGTTTATTGTTAAGCCATCTTGCTGGGAGCTTGAAAAAGCTATCTGTAGAGGATTAAAAATATAAGACAAAAATATTCCTTCCATGTGCCTCAAAGTAAGTGGGGGGGGGGGGGAGCAAAGAGCCTAAATAGTCTTTGTTTCCACTTCTACCAAAAGGGCCACTAAATCACCATGTTGAAAACGGTGATCCTGATACGGCTCCTCACTGAGCTTCCCTGGGTGAGAACCAGGAAGAGGGCAGTCCAGTTTCAGGTTTCTGAGGGTAATGAGTCTACCTATAGACCATAACCCTTATCATACATCTCATAAAAGTCATCACATTTTGTATTTCTCTCAGTAACCAGAAAGGAGTTGGGATAAATAAAAATCAGTATTTCCCTATCACAAGTAGGTTCCATTGGTAACATCAGGATATTATTTTTAGCTGTATTATATACCTGCAGTGCTATAGGTTTTTCACTTACTGTGGTTCATATTTTATCTCTAGCTAATTTTTTTCTGCCCAATACTACTAGGTCATCTTAGAGATTAAAATTTCATATATATATATATATATATATTTGAAGTAGTTTATTTAATATAGATAAAAGGCTATCACCAGTGATTCATTTTTAAATGTTTTAGTAAAGTCCATTTTTCTTGCAATACTTTTATTTATATTTTTGATTATGCCATTACAGTTTTTCTATTCCCCCCTTCATTCCCCTCCACCCTACCCCCCCGTCCCCACCATTACCCTCCTTTAGTTTATGACCATGTGTCTCAAGTTCTTTGGATTCTATATTTCCCATATTATTCTTGCCCCCCCCCTCTATTTTCTATCTACTGTCTATGCTTATTTTCTGTACCTTCTCCCCCCTTCTCCTCCTCCCACTCCCCTGTTGCTAACCCTCCTTGAGATCTTCATTTCTATGTTTCCACTCCTGATCTAGCTGTCCTTTTAGTTTGCTTTTGTTTTAGGTGTGGTTGTTAATAACTGTGAGTTTGTTGTCCTTTCACTGTTCATGTTTTTTTAACTTCTTAGATAAGTCCCTTTAACATTTCATATAATAAGGGCTTGGTGATGATGAACTCCTTGAATTTGATCTTATCTGAGAAGCACCTTATCTGTCCTTCCATTCTAAATGAAAGTTTTGCTGGATAGAGCAATCTTGGTTGTAGGTCTTTGGATTTCATGAGTTGGAATACCTCTTTCCAGCCCCTTCTTGCCTGTAAGGTCTCTTTTGAGTAATCTGCTGACAGTCTGATGGAAACTCCTTTGTAGGTGACTGTCCCCTTAGCTCTTGCTGCTTCTAGGATTCTCTCCTTCATTTTAATCTTGGCTAATATAATTATAATGTGCCTTGGTGTGTTTCTTCTTGGGTCCAACTTCTTTGGGACTCTCTGAGCTTCCTGGATTTCCTGGAAGTCTATTTCCTGTGCCAGATTGGGGAAATTCTCCTTTACTATTTGTTCAAATAAGTTTTCCACTAGTGGCTGTGCCTTTCCCCCTTCTGGTACCCCTATAATTCGGATGTTGGAGCATTTAAAGATGTCCTGGAGGTTCCTAAGACTCTCCTCATTTTTTTTTGAATTCTTGCTTCTTCACTCTTTTCTATTTGGCCATTATTTGCTTTCTTCTGGTCCACTCCATTGATTTGAGTCCCAGTTTCCTTTTCATCGCTATTGGTTTCCTGTGCAATTCCATTCACTTCAATTAGTTTCGCCTTCATGTTTGTCTAATTTGTGGCTATAATCAACCAGTTCTGTGAGCATCCTGATCACCAGTGTTTTAAACTATACGTCTATGAGTTTTGCTATTTCTTCATCGCTTAGATTTATAGGCTCTTGGACTTTGAGATCTTGAGCCATTTTTGGTCTGTTTGCACCCGTTAAGTATGAGGAGTAGAGCCTTGGACTCCCAGGTCGCTGTTTTGTGACGCCGTATGTGGGGGCGTGGTCAGAGCGGGGAAATGGCGGCCCCCTCTGCTGTTTCCGGCAGCTGGGTGAAGAGCAGAGCCTTAGGTTGTTCACCGGGGAGGGGCCACTTAGGTCGCTGGATTATGACGCTGTATGTGGAGGCGGGGTCAGCGCAGGTAAATGGCGACGCCCTCCACCCCGGCTTGCCGCTGGGGCTGCTGGCTCTTGTCCAATCACCCACTCCCTCGCTTGTCTATCCACACACGAATGCACGACCACAGTGAACCCACAGCCCTGCTCCCTCGCTGTTTCCCTGCGATTGCTTGCTGAGTTGCCCACCAGGTCCAACCCTGCGCCTGCATTCCGTGAGCCTGAGTCCATCTGACCGAGTTTTCCTGTGCAACCCCGCTCTGCCAGCTGCTGGTTTCGTCCCTCTTACCGGTCAGGCTGAAGAATTTGTTGTTATCAGACTTCCGAAAAGTTCAATTTTCTATGTTCTGGCTGTATTTTCTGTTGCTATTATTTAGTTGTCTCTAAACTTGGTTGTGTGAGGAAGCACGGTGTCTCCACCTATGTCTCCATCTTGGCAGAAGTCCCCTTGCAATACTTCTTTAGGCAATACAAAGCCAATTTCTAAACTCTCTGTTATTGGCACACTACTCTGTTATGCTCTTTCTGGTAAATAAGAAGCATAGTTATTTATTCGTGAGTTTTGATTAACTTGTAAAACTTGTCATCTTAGTTTAATTTAGCTTGATAAAATTTTAGACAAGGAAATGATGACTTTTTAAGATAAGAATGTACTTAAATGTCATTCTCTCCAAAGAAGAGAAAAAATATTAATATTTTGGGGTAACGAGGGTTTTTAAAGAATGGATATTTTGTTTGCTGCTACTTCTAACACCTTATAATTGTGGTACAGTAAGAGAACAAAGTTTGATGGTTAATTTTATTGTTATACTGAAAGATTTCCTGCCACTGACATATTGAATGCCAAGTACTTGATGAATTACCTTACTTAATCTTTATCAATATCTTATGAGGCATGTATGACTACTCCCATTTAAGTGATAAAAAGTGAAGCTAAACTTGTCCAAAGCGACAAAGCTGAGTGGCAGAGTTAGAGTTACAATTCTGTTCTACTGGAATCGAAGTCCAAGTTCGCTCCAGAACATGGGCTTCCACCCCTCAGGCAATGAGCTCTCTACACACATGCTCAGTCCTGAAGTTTACAGAATGCTTTAGTATGACCATAATTTTCTGTTTTCATGCTCTGCAACTTCTCATGGGTCAGTCATCAATACAGCCTATCATCAGTACTACAGAAGAGGAGGATCAATTTCTCCTGAAAATGTTATCCCTTAATTAACTTGCTCCTCTTTAGCTTTTAAATAAAAACTCTGCCCTGTTCATCAACGTTACTGTGAGGTCTAAAATGAAAACCCCTTTGCCCTGGCTGGTGTGGCTCTGTGGACTGAGTGCCAGCCTTCTAACCAAAGGGTCTCAGGTTTGATTCCCTGTTGGGGTACACGCCTTTGTTGTGGGCTAGGTCCCCAAGTAGGGGGTGCTCAAGAGGCAACCAGACATTGATATTTCTTTCCCTTTCTCCCTCCCCTCCCCTCTCAACATAAAATCTTTGAGAAAAAGAAAAAGGAAACACCTTTAACTGAGGCTACTTAACAGCTGGCTGACACACCAAGGGTCTTAATATGAACCTCTAAAATCTCAAAAGAAAGAAATTTGAATTCATTTTGGGATAATTTGTATAAAGAATGTTTCTATTAAAATAAAAGCTTACCTTAAAGAATGTCTTAAAAATCAAATATGCAGACGGTTTTGAGAATTTGGGGTTCTCTTCAGTAATGTGATCTTTTTAACAACAGCATAATATTCCACTAGGTGGATATGTGGTGATTTAAAGAGTTCCCTTTTCAATGGACATGTGATTCTTTCTCAGTCTTGCTATTCTAAACAAAGCATGAAAGCCACATACGTACAGTTCTGTACACCTGTCTAAGCACCTTATTTTGCCACGTGTAATGCACACCCACATTTTTGTCCCAAACTCTCAGGAAAAAAAATCTTTCGTTTTAACCTTTTCATTCATTCATTCATTCATTCATTCATTCATTCATTTATTGATGTTTAGAAACAAAACCAATCGTATTCCAGGGTATTACTTTGCATACAGGTATCATTATTGCTTTCTAGAATTACGCTTTAAACACATAAGCATAAATAAAAGAATTAAAAACATCTATACAGATACAGAATTAAACTACCCATGTATAATATGCATCCTTATTCTTCCCTCAAAAATTTGAACAAAAAAGTACATGTTATACATAGCAATATCCATACCATAGGACAGATGGAACTGTGTTCTCTATAGGGTTTGTTTACCAGCTGATGCCTTTTTAGGGCCAAGACAGGAAGAAATCAGTGTGTAGAAAGTATTTAATCACTGCTTTTCCTGTTAAGAACTGTCAGCAGATGAGTCCATTAATTTCCCAAAACAGGTTGTTCTGGATTCAAAGGACCTATCTATCCACTGGGGACAAACCAGAGGGTAGTCCTTGTAACCAAATCCCTAAGTCACTCTTTATCTAACTGGTCAATGCTGCCCCTAGGAGCAGAGTGGAGAGGAAACTTGGCTGGTCCCACCCAACACATTTGCACTGGGGGCCAGTTGAGGGCAGGGATTCAGATCTCCCTGGTAACCAGGGTGTCATTCCAGTCTATAAAAGGAAAACCGGCCCATCAGAAATAGCCTGTTTCCAGGAGACAGAGGCAGATCTCCCATCTCACCCCGAGCCACACTGGTTGGGGTCTCCGGGTTCCCCGGAACATGTTACCACCTAGTGTGAAGAAGAACCACCTAAAGAAAAAGATCCTGGAGGATGTGTCCGTCAACAAGCCAAATGTTTCTATCAACTCCCCTCCCTGTTGCAGAAACAGTTAATGTTCACATCCTTTCAATTAGTTCACTATTTTCTCTAAGAGGAACTTTCTACAGACCATCATAAATAAGAATTTTATAAGTGAGAATCCTTTTATTTTAACCAAACATCCAAAATGGTAATTATATAAATGATAAAGAATCGATCACCTTGCTCTATAAAAACACAGAAAACTGTTCAGAGGTGGGTGGGGAGTGTGTTTCTTTTCCACAGAGTTAATTTTGAATAATATTCTGATTTATAATTTTCATTACATTTATGCCAATAGGGCTGACCTGAACATACGTAAAAATCTGTGTATTAAGTCATTCAGAACTAACCTCTCAGTTACCACATGGAGAACGGACAGCAGAGGCAGGCAGCAGGGGAACTACCCGAGGCTACTGAGTAAGAGATGAGCCCAGACCGCCGGCTCTGCTCTCATAAGAGAAGTGCCAGTGTATGCTGCATGCATTCATTTAAAAAGTATGTAGGACACTCACCTGCTTCTCTTTCTTCTGTATTTTCATTATCATCTATTGAAGGAAGATATTTATTTCTGTAAAACATAAAAAAGGCAAAGATTCTGATAAAATCCAAAATAAAATATTTTACATTATCTCAGGATTAGCTGTAACACGTGAAAAAAAAACCCACACAAAATAAAGGATGACTTCGACAGAACATCTATCATCAGTGCTCTTCCAGCCCGACAACTCCAGAGCCCTGATCCTCCTACCCCTATCTCAAACCCTAATTTATTGCTATGGATGGAGTATAGTCCAAAAGACACCGTCTCTGTAGATGAGTTAAAAAAGATGCTGGGATATTAAATTACAAGGGAAACCAGAAGAGAAACCAAAAATCATGGCATGACTTAAGAGCAGTGGAGGAAAGGGTATAGAAGTAAGCTAAGCCCTTGTTTCCTTTGGAAAAAATCAATAAACTGATGTCAGCAATCGATAAATCAAGAAACACAAATATACACAATATAAAAGAGTGCTGAAAGAGTTAAAATAATGAGAGAGGAACTGGTGTGAGATAGACAAGTCACTCCTGCATTTCATCATATGCTTTCCTGAATTTGATGTTTAAAATCATGTATATATATTACTTGCCAAAAGAAATTCCATCCCAGTGTTTCATGACTTTTTAAATGACTGATTTTATGCTATCCAGGACTTAAGACCCCACTTCCAATTACAATGCCCTCGATGACAATGACCCTTTCATCACAAATGACTTTTGGAGCACCACAGAAATAAGAGTCCAGCAATGGCTCCAGAGGTCTCAGAAGTACACTGAGCGACTTCCGCCAAGATGGAGGCATAGGTGGAGACACCGTACTTTCTCACACAACCAAGTTTAGAGATAACAAAGTATTAGCAACAGAAAACACAGCCAAAACACAGAAAATTGAACTTTTCGGAAGTCCGACAACAACGAATTCTTCAGCCTGACTGGTAATAGGGGCGAAACCAACAGCTGGCGGAGTGGGATTGCACAGGAAAACTCGGTCAGACAGACTCAGGCACGCAGATCCCAGGAGTGGGGTTGCAAAGGGTGGACCCAGTGAGTGACCTAGTGAGCGCAACCCAGTGAGCAACCGGTGGATCCGGTGAGGGTGAACGGCAGTGGGTTGACTGTGCTGGTGCATTCCCGCACAGATAGACCGGTGAGGGAGTGGGCAGTGAGACGAGACCGAGCAGGTCCCAGTGACAGGCGGCAGCAGAGACCAGCGGCAGCAGAGACAGCCCCCATTCCCCGGCTCTGACCCCGCCCCCACATACAGCGTCACAACCCAGCAACCTGAGCGGCCCTACCCTGGTGAACACCTAAGGCTTTGCTCCTCACCCAGCAGCAGGAAGCAGGAGAGGGAGACGCCATTTCCCCACTCTGACCCCGCCACCACATACTGGGTCACAACCCAGCAACCCCGCCCTGGAGGCCCCACCCTGCCCCTAAGGCTCTGCTCCTCATACTTAATGGGCAAGAACAGACCAAAAATGGCTCAAGAAGAACTCAAAGCCCCAGAGCCCATAAACCTAAGTGATGAAGAAATGCAAAACTTTCAGATGCACAGTTCAAAACACTGGTCATCAGGATGCTCACAGAACTGGTTGATTTTAGTCACAAATTAGAGGGACATATGAAGGCTAAACTAATTAAAATGAATGGCAATGCACAGGAAATCAATAGTGATGGAAAGGAAACTGGGACTCAAATCAAAGGAGTGGACCAGAAGGAGGAAAAAAATGACCAACCAGAAAAGAATGAAGAAACAAGAATTCAAAAAAAATGAGAAGAGACTTAGGAACCTCCAGGACATCTTTAAATGCTCCAACATCCGAATTATAGGGGTACCAGAAGGGGGAAAGGAACAGCCACCAGTGGAAAACTTATTTGAACAAATAATAAAGGAGAATTTCCCCAATCTGGCAAAGGAAATAGACTTCCAGGAAATCCAGGAAGCTCAGAGAGTCCCAAAGAAGTTGGACCCAAGAAGGAACACACCAAGGCACATCATCATTACATTAGCCAAGATTAAAATGGAGAGAATCCTAGAAGCAGCAAGAGCTAAGGGGACAGTCGCCTACAAAGGAGTCCCCATCAGACTGTCAGTGGATTTCTCAAAAGAGACCTTACAGGCAAGAAGGGGCTGGAAAGAGGTATTCCAACTCATGAAATCCAAAGACCTACAACCAAGATTGCTCTATCCAGCAAAACTTTCATTTAGAATGGAAGGACAGATAAAGTGCTCCTCAGATAAGATCAAATTCAAGGAGTTCATCATCGCCAAGCCCTTATTATATGAAATGTTAAAGGGACTTACCTAAGAAAAAGAAGATAAAAAATATGAACAGTGCAAGGACAGCAAACACACAGTTATTAACAACCACACCTAAAAGAAAAGCAAGCTAAAAGGATAGCTAGATCAGGAGCAGAACCATAGAAATGAAGATCTCATAGAGGGTTAGCAACAGGGGAGTGGGAGGAGGAAAAGGGGGGAGAAGGTACAGAGAATAAGTAGCATAGACAGTAGGTAGAAAATAGATAGGGGGAGGGCAAGAATAGTAGGGGAAATATAGAATCTAAAGAACTTGAGACACGTGGTCATAAACTAAAGGGGGGGGCTGGTAAGATTGGGGGGTGCAGGGTGGAGGGGAATGAAGGGGGGGAATAGACCAACTGTAATGGCATGATTAATAAAATGAAAACTTAAAAAAAAAGAAGTACACCGAGCATCCCAGGGAACAGAAAGAACCCTTGTCTTGGAAACCAGGGATCCGGGGCTGCAAGAATCACTAGCTAGTGGTACTGACTTGTTCTGAAGCTCTCACCTTCCCCGTGTACAAGCAAAGGAGGGATGGTAGCATCCCAGCGGCCCATTCAAGCCCAGACACACACTGATGACTTACTTTGACTTCCTAGAGATCCCAGAGCTATGGATCACCGCACTCTCAGGACGCCATCACAGAGACACACAATTATCCTTGTGTTCATAATTATTTTTCATATCCAAATGAATGTGCCATGTGGGCAATTGAGAAGAACTTTAAGATTAAGTAAGATGGTCCTATTTTCTCCATTTATAGTGTGTTGAATGCAAACTTAAAAAAAAAAATGAAGGACGTGTGATTCCAATAACCCTTGGGGCTGCATTCACAGTTTGTCAGTTTAATGTCTATCAATTTAGGGTTTTTTCCTCCAAGAGTTAGAGGCTTTTCTGTAAAAAGGACCCTAAAATGCTGCCAGGATACTGCTCCTCACTAGTAGCAAAGCATCCAGAGAGGTACTAACAAGCTTCAAGTGGGCACAGTCACAGCCTAGACCAGGGAAGAGGAGGAGGGCGGAGAAGAACCTGGAAAAGGAAAGTCAGGTTAGTAAGCGAGGCTTCTAATTATCACGGTGAGGATTAGTGATTGATGGAACAATTTATTCACCTCTAGAAAACTATAAATACCAGAGAAATGGTAAGTGATATAAATCGGGGCCATTAAATGAATTTTACCCCCAATCTTCTCTATAGTAGAGTAAGTTCTAGATAAAATATGTCAATACAAGTTTATCTCCTTTATTTCCCAAATTTTAAGTTGTCAGACCCCGGAAAACCAACACTCTCAACAAACTGTCACAAATTCTGAAATGAAGAAAGTTTGAGAAATAAATCCAGCTAATAAAAAGGGATATATATTTTCAATAATCAGACACATATACTCAAAATTCTGCCCAACAAAATGAAATCAATCAATTAAAAAACAAAGAAATATTCCATCGATGTTAATAAAAACTTACTCTATAATTATAAAAGAAGAAGTATAATGCTGTAAAGACATCAAAACATTTTTTCAGCTTCCAATGAAGTACCACAAACCAGCATGTAAACCAGCAGGGCCACAACACCAACAGGAATATGGGGAAACCGGGTCCAATTTGTCACTGCTAGTGGCACTTTAATGACTTCCAGATTTCCGAAGAGCACTTGGGCAACACGCCCCGGACTGCAGACTGCTGCGGTGCTTTTCTCTGCCAGCTCCACAAGTCAGGAGGAAGTGAACCTGGACCTCAGAGGGAGCGGGGGTGAGGCAGGGGAAGCGTGAAGACACCTTACCAGCAGAGCGTGGACACTGGAGATGGCCACAGAGATCACTAGGTCCACAGAGATCACTCAGGCCCACCCCTCCCAGGACCTGCGTCATCAGAGGGCCTGAAAGGATCAGAGACGGCAGACAGACACAGACTGAAAACACAGGGAAAGGGGTGGGGATGACTCAAGTATGGCTTGAATTCGACTACTCAGCAAAGAGAGAAGGCTTGCAGGGAAAGAGATGGGTAAAAACAAATACCTTCCCCCAAATTTGTTCACATGTAAGAGGCAATATTCATGCTGCATAGATAACCCTACCCCATAATCTGAGAGACAGAGAGAATTCCAAGTGAGAGTGACGCTACTGTAAGAGTAACTGCTCCAGTTCACTGACAGCAATCTTGGGCAAACCTCACATTATGACTGTGAAATCACTTATAGCAGCACCTGGACGGACTGTCCCGCACCAGCAGGCTGCCACCCCACAGGGTACGAGATGGCATCAACATCAGTAGGTGTTGAATATGCATTTATTGACTTTTCTCTCTCCAAATAGTACCTAATAATTTACAAAGTACTGTTAAATTACCTTGAACTTTTAAATCTTTTATGGCACACATTTAAAAAAATACCAAACTATGTAATCTTTTCATAAGGCTGCATTTTGTACAGCAGGCGTAGATGAACAGACGCACCTTAAAGCACGTGCTTCTGAACGACTTGGGAGGTGGTTTTACAGCCTCTGCTGCTGCACTGCCATCACTCAAAAGTTGTGATTAAATCTTTTTGGCTCAATAAAGAAAAAATTAAACAGTAATTTCGACATCCCACAACTGAATTAAAAACCCAATACAGACATATTCTGAAACCCTTAACTGTGTGGGCGAACCAAGAAACCCGTCAGCAGGGGCAGATGTGCGTAGCCTCTGAACTACATGAAGACTGACTAGCAGGCCTCCTGCTCTCCTCCC